CCCCCTGTCCGCCGCCCACACCCCCCCCCCCGCCCCAACCACCCGCCCACCCTGTTCAACAGCCACATGAACACCCCTGTACCGCAACCCAGTCGGGCGTGCGCGCGTGCGCGCGCGCGCACACACACACACACACACACACCTCCCAAGCGCAGCTCCCACCTGAACACCGCGTCAGCCAACCGCTCCTCGCAGACCACCTGGCCGCCATGCGCCGAGGCGCCCACAAACCGCGCCGCGCCTCCGACGCCGGCGCCGCGGTAGCTCGCCCGGCCCCAGCGGTCGGGCTCCACGCCCGTCGGCACGCCCTCGCACACGCCCTAATAGGGGTTGGGGGGAGGGCCGTACGATGTTATTGTATGGGTCTGGGGATCAGGGTGACGTCATGCGGCCGCCCGCTACCTGAAGCGCCTAGGGCCTGCCTCTGTACCCATGCACCTGCCATGAGCGGCCGCGGCCGACGTGACGGCGGGCAGCAGGCCGGCCGCGGCGCGCAACGGCAGCGGCAGGCTCGAGCGGTTCACATCAGCACTGTGGCGGCCCGCCCTCAAGGGTGTGTGTGTAGGGGGGGGGGATGGAGGCACGGTGCAGCACCAAAATGCGCCGATTCCAGCATTGAGGCTTGACTGCGAGGGTTATGAGCCGTGTGGCTTGACTCCTGTCGCTTATCCCGTGACCGCCAGCTGGCATCAGACAAGCACACACATGCACGCGCCACATGCACGCGCGCGCGCACACACACACACACACACATACGCGTGCGCGCGCACACACACACACGCACACACAATACAAGAATACACACACGCACGCGTACGTGCACGCGGCCTCGCACCATCTTGAGCCTCGGCCCGCGGAACAGCAGCTCCCCACCCGCCTGGTCCGGCGCGTGCACCTCCGCCAACTCGGGCGCCGTCAGCAGCAGCCCCTGTGGCCAGGGCGCGTACATCAGCGCCTCCTGCGCCATCAGGCACCACCTCAGCGCGGCATCCGCGTTCGGGAACGCCAGCGTATACCGCAGGTCGCCGTCGCCCTCGGAACGGCCGCAGAGGTAGCCGCCCGACCCCGCCGCGTCCAAGGTTTCGAGCAGCGCCGCGCGCAGGACGGCGCCGAGGCGCCGGAGGTCCGCGTCGCGCCGCGGCCGCGCGAGCGCGCGCGCGCCCTCGACAGCGGCGGACACGAGCGCGACCGGCGGCGGCAGCAGGGGCGGCGGGGCGGCCGCGTCGGACGGGGAGAGCAGTGCGGAGGCGGTTCCAGGGGCGTCAAAGAAGCCGCGGTCGGTCTGGAGCCAGCTGTCTTGTGTCTCAAGGGTGCCGAGCCAGATCCTGGCCCGCCCCGCCAGGCAGAATGGCAGCACACTGTAGAAGCGAATCAGCTCGCCGCCCCCGCCCCCGCTGCCTGCGCGCGGCCCCGCCGCGGCCGCGGCGCGGCTGAAGTGGGCACCGCGGCCAGGGCCGGGCCGCACGAGGCCGAGCCGGACCGCGCAGCCGCCGTCCTCCGGCGGCCACAGGGGCTCCGGCGCTTCGTCCTTGGATTCGTGATCTCCGAGGTTGAGCCCTGGCACCATCCACTCCCCCATGTCAAGGCAGAGCAGCCCCAAGCCCGCCGGGCCCTCGTGCGCAGCGGCGCCGCGGCGCGCCCACGACAGCCAGGCGCTGCGTTGCAAAGCGCAAACCGAACGTGGCAGACGGGTGTAAGACAGTCAGGGCTTGTATGCTGCAATGGCCGCGGCAGCGCGTGCCGCCAGGGCCGCTGGCCCCGCCCCAGGTTGTTCTACGGCCGCCGCCTTGCAACGCCGCCGCTGGCAATTACCCTGGCCATTGGCCGCATTTGGGAGGGCCGCCTCCAGCGTAGAAGCACGTGATTCCGATCCGCCCTGCTGTCCAGCTCTGCATCGTCCATCGCGGCAGCGCCCCACACGACATCGGCAGTCGCATGCACAGATGACAAACAAGCCAGTTCAAAATCAGCGGCTCACCCGCACGGCCCCCAGATCGACCAGGGGCCGCGGCTGCCCGGCAGCTTCCTGTGGTCGAGCCCGTCCTCGTCGACCGCCCCCAGCTCCTGGCGGCGTTCCCTGACAGCCGAGAAGGTGCCCCCCTCGAGCAGCACCTGCCCGCCGTTGGCCGCGCCGCACACGGCTGCCGGGCCGGCGTTGCAGTTTTTGGAGGTTGGGAGGAGGAGGGGCGCGCGGGAGGGCGTCAGGGGCGAGTGCACGACGAGGGGGTGCGAAGTAGTCTTGCCCCGCAATGTGCACGCATGGGAGAAGGGGGCCAGCAAGCCGACCAGGCGCAGAAGGGCTAGGGATCATGCTGCGCGTCGACGCAACAAAACAGGCAGAACGACGAGACACGCGTCCCCGACCCCGACGCTAGCAAGTCAGAAGGGCCCTCACTCTTGGCGAGGCGCAACGGCGCGCAGCCGAACAGGTCGGCGGCGTCCCCCAGCACGCCGCTCGCCACGCCCATGCGGACGAGCAGCCCCTCCAGCAGCCGGCCCCGCGCCACGTCAGCGGCCCGCGGCGAGCTCGAGCCCCAGCCACGCAGGCCCCCAGCCCGGCCGCCGCCAAAGGGGCCCGCGGCGCCGCGCGAGACGCCAGCGCCGGGCCATCTGCCCGCGCGGCTGCCGGTCAGCGGCATGTGGCCGAGGAGAAGCTCCTCTTCGTAATCCTCGGGCCGCGCGCCGGAAGCGCTGCGCGCCGCCCCGAGGGCGCCGCTCGCCCCGCCGGCGCCGGCGGTGTCGGCGCCGCGTGCGGGGCCGTAGGCGGG